GCGAAGGTGCGCGCGTGGAGGTAGCGCAGGTCGCCGTTGTGCGCCAGGCGCAGCTCGGCCAAGCGCGGCAGGCCCTTGAAGGCGCCCGGCGTGATGAAGGACAGGTTGTTGTGGCGCAGCGACAGGCGGCGCAGCGACGGCAGCGTGCCGAAGGCCCGCTCGCCCAGGAAGCGCAGGCCGTTCCGGTCCAGGTCGATGGTGGCTGCCGCGCACGGGAACTCGGCGGGCACCTGCAGGAGGCCCGCGCGGTCGCAGCGCACCGAGCAGCCGCCGTCCACGCCGCTGCAGGTGCAGGTGGCCGGGCAGGCGCGAGTGCAGGCCTCCGTGGCCAAGGCCCGGGCACTGGGCAGGCCGAGAAACAGCGCTGGGGTGAGGGGGGTAGAAAAACAAACTGTCAGCCAGAGCGTCCCCAGGTAGAATCCTCCCCAGGTAGAATCCTCCCTGTGCGCGCTGCAGAAAGCTGCCCTCCACCGAGTCTCAGACTTCAAAGGGCCGGTTCCCCACCCAAGAAACCCTCCCCCACGACACCCTCTGCTGCTTTCCAGTTATCTTAACAGACAAAGCCCAGCTGGGATCCTGAAGCTGGTCACTTTCCAAACCCCCGCACTGTGCACAATGTCCCTGGTGCTCTCCCAGAATTCAGCCTACAGAGTCGATGCTGCACGCGGAGGGGAACCTCGAAGGCAGCGCTGTGGCCTACACTCAGCTCTGTGCGGCTTCACACCGCGCCCACTAGCCACATAAGTTGGCTAATGAGCATCTGAAACGTGGCTAGCTCCAGTTGAGCGGTGTTATAAAGGTAAAATACACCCCAGGTTCCAAAGACCTCGTACCTAAAGGTAGCCTACCTCGTGAAAAATTTTTAGATACTTTAGGTCTATTGCCTTACATTTAAATGAATGTAAAACGTTCCTTTTCACCTTTTTTTTCAGTGGGACTACTTAGAAAACTTAGCATTTGTGGCTTCCATTACATCTCTATTGGTGCTGCTCCAGTCCCTTCCACCATATGAATTCAGTTCCTGAAAACCTCCATTGAATAAATTAAGCCTCAATGAAGAGGTGAGGATTAGGGAGCAGGAGGTTGGGAGTGAAGCAAAAGTTAACCCCCCCTTTTTTTTTTATTTTGTTTCCTTTAACAATCACTTACACTAAGACATAAGGTTGCCTGTTAAATAAACTATCAATGACCTTACACATCTCCAAAGAATAATTGTGGACCATTTACAGTACATTTCCATTCACCATTTGCTCTCTAGAGAATTTTATCACAGCAAGTAAAGGTGCTCATGAATTTTGTTGTGAGCATTTGAATGAAGGGTCAGTAAAGATGTCAAAAGCCCTCCAATAGGCTTGCCACCTGCAGCAAAGCAGAATGGCATGGGCTGCTATTCTGTGCCAGCCACAGGCCCCAAACCCTATCTTGAGGTCCAGTGGGAAAGGCCGCATGTAAAGTGTACAGGTTTTCTGGCCAGGAACAGCTCGAATGTCAAGTATTCTGCATTTGAAATTCCTGTAGAGGAACAAAGGTACCCGGATGTAAAACTGACCATCAGTAATTATAATTTTCTACTCATCCTCAGCAATACTCCCAAATGCCAAACAAATGCCCCAGGTCCACCATTAAGTTCCCCTCACCCCCACTGTGTACCCATTACCTATCCAAGCCCTTGTGGGAACCTGAAAATGTGGCCACACGAGTATGTAGAAGATGCTTGCTGCTGCTTCTGCAGGTTCACTCGGCTTGCGGTGTCTTTTCAGCGCATCTGTTGTGGACACTCATGCTTTTTCAGCTGCTGGGAGGGGGATTCAGCCCTTTCAGACTTGGCTGTAAACTGGAGCTAGCTCAACATTCCGATTTAACTTAGCTTTTCTCTCTCGCTAAGTACTGTAAACTAGATAATGAGCTTCCAGCAAAGCTCTTGGACCCTGTGCTGTACTTGGCTGTAAACAGGGTTGCTGCTGGGCTAGACAGACACCACGTTAGGGAGACAGGGCCAAGAATACAACATTAACTCCAGGCGTCAGCTGGACAAGGGTGGAAACTTTTTCTATCAGTTCCTCCAACTGGGTCAAGTAGAGGCATCAGATTTCCTTACAAATAGTCCCTCATTCTACTCTCTTCTCCTTTCTAATTAACAGAAGTGCACTTTCAACCATGAGGCTCATGTTTCTGCTCCACAATAACTAACATTATACTGGGCTCACTGTATGGCTCAGTAAATGTTTGCAGAATTAAATTAAATTGATGCCTTCCTCTGTGAGGATTCCTGCTAGAGGATGTCATTTATAGTTTTTAAAAAATTCTTTGTCAAATAACTCATAGGATAATGACAGGTTACAACCAATTTGCTTATACAATGCAAGAGATTACAAGTGTAGCAGTCAATTATAAAAACACATGCAAGAGGGGAGAGAGAAAAGCTTTCTATTGTATATTCTTTTTACCTTTACAGTTTTGACACATGTGAATGTATTGCTTAGCTCAGAAGATAAGTTTACTTCAAGCTTTAATGACACACTGAAGATGTAGTCATTTTTTTAAGAACCATTTTTAGGCTCTGAAACCTTGATAGCTACTGGGAACCAGAATTTATTGGATTACTTAGTGAAATATAAATTAAATCAAGTAAATGCTCAGGACAACCAAACTTCAGTACTAGTCTACCCAGTATTAAGACAAAATATATACTTAGTGATCTAGAAAAGCAGGGTACCAAAAATTTTTTTAACTTAAATATTAAGATATTTGCGTGAGTTCTGCTTACAGTAATGACAGAGTAGCTTGTAACAGACATTATTGCTGATTGCCAGTAGCAACTCTGGACAAAATATTTTTAAAACATTGTTTGAAAGCACCAGAGAGCACCCTACACAGGCAGCCAGAGTAATTACAACCCTTGAAAGAAGACAAGCAATCGCAGCAACAGCCACATTTCCTCTTTTTCCTCTTCAGGGCATTTTCAAGCCCATGCACCACAGGGGCAAGAGATCTCATGCACAAGCAAGCATCTCCTGAGGCTGACAAGTTATGAGTCAGAGTGCACACTGCCTCATGACTGGAAGTGAAGGGGGAAAGCATGCAAAAGAGGGAGCACAGATTTGGCACAGACTCCCCTGAGAATCTTGAGTCATAAAGTGTTTGGGGTGATTTCAAGGCACTAAGAACTGAATGCCAAAAATGCTAAACAAAGATATCAGCTATTCCCAGTGATGGGAGAAAGATTAAGAGTTCAAGGTCCATCGAGTTAGAAGGGCTTGTAAAATACCTTACCCTTTCTGAACCCCCAGAGGGCCACACCTCAGGATGAAGACCATTTCCCAGGTGAAGGGCACAGGACTCCAGGCTTACCCTAACAAAGGCGGAAAGCAAACCTCCCAGGTAGCAAGGTTATGTGTCAGTAATTTTACTGGGTATCATAACAAAATTCAACACTCTTCAATGGAAAATAAGATCTAGAGGTTCTATAACTAACATCCACAATATCTGGTATACAACCAGACAATACTAGATATATAAAGAAGTAGTAAGTCATGCACTAACCAGGAGGAAAAAGTAGCAGAAGCAGATCCTGGGGAACAGAATGATTTCATGGAGAATTTTAACTTTAGAAATATGGAAATGTGAAAAATGAAAACCAAATCTCTGAATTTCAAATACAGTATCTGAAAATCTTTTTAAATCATTAAATAAGAAAAATAACAAATTAGGCACTGCAGATTTATGAAATTTGAAGAGAGATTCCTTGATAATGGGACAATATCAAACAATAAAACTAACGTGCACATATTTACAGTCCCCGAGGAGAGAAGAGAGTATGACAGAAAAATAATTTGACAATTTCCAAAGTTTTATGAAAAGCAAAAAACTCAGCAAATCACAACTGACATCACACACCCACACAACACAGCCCCCAAGTGCTTTTAAACTTAAAAACCAAAGAGAAAACTCTGTCAGCATCCAAACATAAAAGACACATTACACAGAGTAAACAACAACAAAATATAACAGACTTCTTATGAGAAACAATAGAGGCTGTGCCCTCCCTGGTGGCCCAGGGGATTAAAATGTAGCTCTTTGAAGCAGCCACTGGAGCCCCACTTCCATCCCCAACTAGGAAGCTGATCCACATGGCACAGCAGACCTCCCCTGTCTCCCTCACTGCTCCCCTGAGCAATGTATTTCAGTTAATCTGCCTGTTCTGCTCCCTGCTCTGTCTCTGGTGAATCCTCTCACTGCTCCTGCACTTCGAGCCTATACCCCAGTGCTGTATGCATAAGTAAATAAATATTTTTTCAAAAGATACACCTTTTTATATAAGACCATCCCATACAAGATGGGCAATATCATTGGCTATTAGGAAAATGCAACTGAAACTAGACATCTATTAAAGTGAGTAAAGTTGGACGAATCGTACCAACTGTTGGAGAGCATATCGAACAACTGGGATTCCTAAACACACTGGTGGGAATGGAAGACAATACAACTACATTGGAAACAAAGAGGGAGGTTTTTCAGAGTTGAACACACACCTACCTTAACATCCATTCATTCTACCTCTAAGAAAATAAAAGAATATCCCATACAAAAGACTTGTCATGATCATTCACAACCACTTTATTCATAACACCCCAAACTGAAAGCAATGCAAATACCCATGGAGAGTTGAATGTGTAAACAAATAATGATATGGCCACACAATGGAATACTAAGCAATAAAAAGGAATGGACTATTAATTATCTGGAACATGGATGAGTCTCAAGATAACTTTGCTGAGTGAAATTTCACTCAATTCTTATATGCAGAACATGAAAACAACTCCTTCAAATGAATAGTGAAAAGCCAAACTAAATAAATACATTTTAAAGATTTTTTAAAAGATTTATTTATTTGTGCATATAGAACTGGGGTACAGGCCAGAGGTGTGGTGAGTGAGAGGATTCACCAGAGACATAGTAGGGAGCAGAACAGGCAGATTGACAAAGTATACAGCTGAGGGGAGCAGCGGGTGGGTCAGGAGAGGTCTGCCATGCCATGTGGGTCAGCTCCCTGGCCGAGGATTGGACTTGTGCTGCAGTGGCTTCAGAGATCTTCATAATGCAGTGCTTTAACCCATTGTGCCACCAGAGAGAGCCCAAATTTGAACAATTTACAAAACAATCTGTTAGGAAGTTGTTAAGCCCATGAAAAGGTAGTCAGCATCATTAGCCATCATTAGGGAAATCAAAATTAAAACTATAATAAGAGGCCCTCCCTGGTGGCGCAGCGGGTTAAAGCACAGCACTGAGAATCTAAAGCCACTTCCACATGAGTTCGATTCCCGCCTGCCCCGGAGGTGACCACATGGTGTGGCAGACCTCTCC